GTAAAAACAAACCAGTGGTTATTCATTGCACCAAACTGCAGTTCAGTTTTCAAGAAAATAATTGAAAAAAATATCTCTATAATTGCTGAAACTGACGACTGTGTTTACGTGGACACTTTAAACATGCTTCCTTTTCTGTAAACGTGTTGATGAAATAATTTGGAAATGACAAAAGTACACAACTTTCAGATATTTAGACAATATTACCATACCATTTTATTTATAGTGCACTTAAAACAGCTACAAGGCCAACCAAAGTGCTGTACAGACAGAACAACAGACAACACACGAATCAAAATACAAAATGAAGTAAATCAGAATAGACATAAAAACGATGCAGATGATGACGACAAACCAGTGTGGAGCATACAGGATCAAAACAGATCCTCTGGTGTTGAAAGCTATTGAATAGTAGTGAGTTTTTAAATGGGATTTAAAAACTGCGAGGGAGGGGGCCTGTCTGACAAGCAGAGGTAACTCGTTCCAAAGTCTTGGTCCTGCTACAGAGAAGGCCCTGCAGTGTTTCCCCTAGTTAGCTTGCCATGGGTGGGGTGCTCATCTCATCCATGATTTTTGCTGATGGGGGGGGGGGGGGGGGGGTAGAAGGGGAGATGGAGACATGTCTGAGAGCAGCTTGTACCAACAGTTTTTGAGCGGGGGTGGGGGGCGTTCAACATGAGGGAAGAGGCAATGCGAGTGCTGCCTTTGGCCTTTTAGCTAGAGAGCCTGTATTTTGCACCGCTATCTTAGTGATATGTCAGTGCCGGGTGGGGGTAGGAGGGGCAAGTTCAGTTTGGTAGGCGGGATGCTCAGTTTTTGTTGGTGGGGTGGGGCACCCATCTGTATAACGGTAGGGGAAACATTGCCCTGTCACCTCTGCGCTTAAGACGACTTCCTGGAACTGTGAGGAGCAACTGCTCCGCTGACCTCAGGGAACGTGGTGGGACATACGGTTGTAGCAGATCAGAGAGATTGGGGGGTGAAACTGTTCAGCGATCTGTAGACATACAGGAGTATTTTGAACTGGATTCGAAGGTGAACTGGTAACCAGTGCAGTGAGGCCAAAACTGGTGTAATGTGCTCTTATTTGCCTGTACTAGTTAAAAATTGGGCTGCTGCATTCTGGACCAGTTGTAGTCGTGCAATGGAGGTCTGACTGATACCAAACAGGAGTGAATTGCAGTAATCAAGCCTAGTTTCTTCCAACTGAGGCGGCTGTCTAAACTGAAGCCCATATTGTCCAAAAAGAACCTGGAGACAGTAATACATGCATTCATTACATCTAGGCTTGATGGCTATACTCTTATCCAAAGCTAAACAGTCGATGCACGGTCATGTGGTTGCAGGACGTTTGTTTTCGTGCACACCTTTTTTCATTCAACCTTTACCTACAGATAAATCACAATGAGCCTCGAAGACTCATTTACAAGTGAGACCTGTTTAGACCTTTCATAGTCCACGAGTCGCAGAGCTCCTAGGGAACCCCTCCCACTGCAGTATACGTCACCGCGCCGTTTTCTTCCCGCCAGACTCTCCACTCTGTCCCTGCATCTGCCGTCTGGTCACAAACTCATTGAGAAGAACACCATACTACAGCTGAATGTCTGAGCAGGTTTCCACTTTGACGACCATGCCCACTAGCTTCTGACCAGTCACACAATCCTTGGCGCATACGCCTGTGAGAAAAAGTTCATTCCGGCCCTTGTGTCGAGAAGGACTGGGTGAAGCTGACCCCCCCCACCACCTGACGTAGCACTAAGCTAGCTAAGCTAGTGGCATGCAATACAGACGCACTCGATAAAAAGCTAGGTAGCACTCCACGTCCCTCACGCTGAACCGCCTCCTAATCCCCCCACTCGAAAACTGTTGGTATAAACACAGACGTGTCTCGGTCTCCACCAACTCCTCCTCCACCCTCCCGGCCAAAAAAAAAAAAAATCACACAAGTGCGTCCTGCAAGTAATATAGGTGAAACACTGGAACAAAATGACATGATTTTCATCACGCAACTACATCAACGAGGGACGATTTTGCTGCTTCGAATAGAGTATGAAGGGCCCCTAACTGATGCAGAGCTTGCTTTACACACGGACTGAGCCAATCTTTAAACCGTATGAACCACACAGAGATGCAGTGGTGAGGAGACGACAGCCAGTAAGAAAACCCTTCTGTCGTAACATTAAGTGACTGCAGCTTTCAACAGTCTGACAGGTTTATGGCTGCTCTGTAGAGCCCACCATTCATGCAGGGGCCATGCAGGTCCACAGCCCCCTACAATTAAGTCGGCAACTAAATCAAAATGTATTTGAACAACTCGAGCCATGTTTGTTCACCAGAGTTTAAGGTCATTTTATGAATTAATGAATTTTATCTTTAAAAAACATATATGTTACTATTCTTGAGTGAATCTCTAATGAAAATGTTTTTATAATACTTTCTTCTCTTCAGAACTGTTCATATACTATGGATAGTATGGTTGTTGAAACCTTCAAGGAAGTGCTTTTAATAAACATCTTACCTGCAATTTTTTATTTTATTTACGTCGTTGTGATTAAAATTTAAAGTCTCTTTTCTTAAACACTGCAGATTAAATCCATAAAAGATGTCAAAAAACATGATTTATTAGTGTTTGTTAATTTACATTTCTATTCTTCCAACACAATTTCAACATTATTAAATGATTGTTGGGGTGTAATGTAACTTTAGAGTTTTAGTAAAAATTGTGCAAAATAAATGAATATATTAAAAATAAACAGCAAATATTCCTCGTCTGTTTTTACAACTAAACTCAGCAACAGAAATTTTCCCAGGATAGTCAAGAATATCTAATTTAAAGTATGATCTTAGCCCCAACTTTTGCTTTACTGCTCTCCATCACTCAAAATCCTCCCCCAAAAAAGGAATCGGTTTCTCTACTTCTAATCAGAGTCAGAGTTTATTGTCATTCGCACCACATGTGGTACATGTGGTGGAACAAAATTGTGTACACAGGGTCCCAGTTACATCCAACAAAAGCATAAAATGTAAAAGAAAAACAGTAATAAGATCTAAGATATGAACTAAGAAAAACGTCAACTAAAAATACTAAAAATAAAATGACTCTGGTCCTCGTTTCTTTCCAGAAGAGAGACCCGTACAGTTTCACTTACGACCTGCCGTATATGATTTCAGCGTTCTTTCCCTGACTCTGTTTACATCCAGGGATTATTTTACAGAATGTATCTGTCTCACACTGAGACTGTCCAAAGTGTGCTCATTATGTTCAAAAGTAAACAAATGACTTGAAATTGTTGGCAACAAAACATGACTGCTGATTTCACTTACTTTTTTACAAATTATGCAGTAGAGCTTTGGTGTATTTAGTGGATATAATAAGTTCAAGTTGTTTTTATTGTCATTTGCATCTCATGTGGTACATGAGGTGGAACGAAACTGTGTACTCAAGGTCTCAGTTACACGCACAAATAGCAAAAATATAAAGTACAAAAAGAAACAGTGTATAAGGATCTAAAATATACACGCAAAACGAATGCTAAACAATATGCTAAAATATCTAATACACAAACACTACTAATGTAATATAATATGGTATATTCAACAGCAGATTTGTATCATACATGATACAAATATACAAAATAATCTAACTCAAACAATGAAAAACTGCATGGCTTGACAGTTATTATGGCGTTAACACGTAACTGTAGGCACAACAGGAGGACCCCGGATTAACTGGATCTCAAATTTCTTTCCAATTAGGGGTCAATAACGAGCACAGTGAGTGATCCCTTTCAAAGGAATTAATATTGAAAATAAAATTATTAACACCAATTATATTCAGGGGGAGATAAAATAAAAATACACTTACATTTCTATAAATGAATGTCTGCAAAAAATACAACTTCAGTCTAAAACGTTTTTTACCTATGGAATGCATTTGCTTGATCTATATATATATATATATATATAAGCAAATGTAGTGAACACAGTCCATCCCTTGAATCTCATTAGAATAATTTTAACTGACAATTACACCGTTTAGTAAAATACAGGTAGATTTTCAGACTCCTTATAAATAAATCACTGACTTAACAAAACCAAAGACAGCTCCTGATTTCAGCTCTATAAACTGATTTTTACATTCATAATTCAGATTTATTAAGAATAAAACAGAGACTGTTGCAATTAACAGTCAACCTGCAAACATCAGGTTTAATTAAAATGACGCTCGAAAACTGTCCAGCAGGATAAATTCCAAAACACACTTGCTTTCCTAATAACAAAGCCACGCTGCAGTTTACAATTATTTGTATTTACCACCACATCAGTGGTTTTCATGTAACATCGGAGCATGCACTGGCAGTGCTCTGCATACCAGAGAGATAGCGAGCACAGCCAAAACAGCGCTGGTTGGACAAAAAAAAAAAAAAAAAAAAATGGTCACACTCAAACAAGCTTAAGACACCATTTTGAAAAACGCACCGATTTCTGGATAACAACCTCGAGATGCCATCTTGCTAATTATCACCAGATTAGCTACCGTTAAGAACGGCGCTTGAGCCGCTGCACGCAGGAAACCGTGCGTGTCAAAATACTAAAGCTAGCTTAGCTTCAGGAGCTCGGCGGAAAGGACAACCGCTAGCCCGCCGCCGCTACTGCATCCCTGCATCCATCCCGCACACACGCTGCTCAAACCCGCTAATTAGCGAGCCAGCCTGGGGAAACATTAGAAATGGCACCGATGACCAAAACGCAGCCGGTCCGACCGGGACGGTAGCAGCTAAACTGAATCGTGGCTGTGAGAAACTTAAAAAAAAAAAAAAACACACGATACGCCAAGAAATACATTCCGCTAATTGAGCTAGCCGTTTAGCTTAGCATAGCTCGCTAGTTCCTCACGGAGGACAATTGAAGGGATACGGCGGAGGAAAAAAAGAACCAAAAAAACTTAAAAACTCGACACATGGACCTGCCGTCCACATTTAACTGCGTATTAGACTTACCAAAACCACACGGTCGAACAGTAAAAGTCTTCCCCTCCTTGTGTGTACGAGAGCTCCCGTGTGTCGGCTCAGCTTCGGTCGGGGCGGACTGGCTCTGCTACAGCAGCGTTCGTGTCGGGCAGTGGCGGCTGCGAAGACGGCTTCACCCGGAGAGACGGCCACTGTGTGGGGGATGGGGGATGCACCGCCGCCGGGAGGGAGGGAGGGAGGGGGGGATGCAAGGAGAGAGGAGGGGGCACGACCCACTGATAATGTAAAGTGGATGGAGTCTAATATTAGAAACGAGAAATATGCCGATAGATGACAGAATTAAGACAATTAGAAAGACGACTTGTGACTGAAGGAAGTATCTATTGCTCATTTTTACTACAGGACCTTTTGAATTCAGATAGAAACGCATCAGATACGTTCAATGAACATCGATCAATAGACTACTGATGAAGATTATATAGATAAATAACGATGTATGCACTATATTATTATCCATCTATTATTGTTGTTGTTGTTAATAATAATAAAACAATCAATCTAATAACAGTTGCATACAAGATAAGAATTGTGTTATTTTTAGTTTTAAACATGATAACACGGTGACAACATTAATGCACCACAGTCGGAAGTTCATCCGTTCATGTATTTTTTTTTTTACATATTTTGTACTCGGTGCGTAACGAGTCCTTTCTTTCTAAACTCCACAGTAAGACACCGCCACCTAGTGGTCTTGAATGCACCACTACGTCCCGCTCTCTGAGTGGCGTTACATTCAAGGGCAACACGAAACTCGGAATTCTGGGGCACATGCACGTAAATGTAATTTCCAAAACGCTAAGATGAGAAAGGTAGTGAATAAATTAATCAAAAAAGCTATTTATTCACAGTAACTTTAATACATTGGTGCAATTAAAAATGACAA